CTGGGATCGAGCCCCGCATCGGGCTCCCTGCTCGGCGGGAAGCCTGCTTCTCCCTCTCCCACTCCCCCTGCTTGTGTTCCTGCTCTCGCTATCTCTCTGTCAAATTAATAAATAAAATCTTTAAAAAAAAAAAAAAAGAATGGTGTTAAAACTCACTCCCCATCACAGCCCTCCCAGGGTCCTGGCCCACCTTGCAGCCCGGCAGGCCCCACACCACTGGCCCCCTGCCTGGTCCTGACCTAATTTACACAGGCCTCCTGTGTGCGGCTGACCCTTTCGGAGACTCTTCCCTAAAATACACTACTCCCTCTTTCACGCCCCTGTCCCAGGGCCTTTGCCAAGGCCCCTCATCAGAACAGCCTTGCCTGGGGCGCCTGGGTGGCTCAGTCTGTGAAGCATCTGCCTTCGGCTCAGGTCATGATCCCGGGGTCCTGGGATGGAGCCCCACATCGAGCTTCTTGCTCGGCGAGAAGCCTGCCCCTCCTCCTGCTCCTGTTTTCCCTCTCTCTCAAATAAATAATAAATCTTAAAAAAAAAAAAAGGAAAAGAAAAGAACAGCCTCTCCTGATGTCCCCCTGTGAGATGGTTGAGGGTAATACTTCTCATTTCCACAATGCACAGGAGCTCCTCGGCATCAATTCAAACACAGGCCAGTGTTAGGTAGAAAATGTTGGCAAGGAGGCCAAGAGGCCCCTGAGGGAGGGGTCTGTGGCTGAGATGCGGTCCCCTGTGTCTCAGGCTAGCCCCTGAGTCTTGCTAGATGCTGGAACCCCGAGGTGAAGGGGACAAGGCCGGGGCTCTGATGAGAAGCCACACTGATTCCCACGGTTAGAAGATCTGCAGGCTGGGAGGTATACAACACAGATGTATTCTCCTGACTCTAGAGGCCCCAGCGTGTACGGATTAGGTGCTTCGTGATGGAGGGAGGCCTTGGGGGCGCCCCAGGGGTCCCCACAGTCCTCAGTGCCCAGCGTGTGCCCCAGCGTGTACGGATCAGACGGACGCCCCTGACTTCAGTAGGAGCCAGCCCGGCCTTCTCTTTCTCCCACCCCAGCCATGCCCACCAGCTGCTTCCCTCATTAATGATTTAAGGATGATTGTGGATGTGTGAGCACCTTTTATTCATTTGCGAATTTTGAAAAGGATCCTCTCTGCGGCAGGAGGGAGGGAGGTAGGAGCCAGACTGGGGTGGAGAGGACCCGCATCCCAGGCCCTGGCAGGGAGACCTGCTGGGGCCCCATTCCTCTCTTTAGATCAGATGGGGGGGGGGTGGTACGGTGCCTCAGTTTACTCCTTTGTCAAAAGAGGCAGGACCAGACTAGTCCTTCATTACTGCCCTGTGGGCTTTCCCCTGTGTTTCAAATGGAAATGGTTAATAGTTTCAGAATATTTATTCATGTGTTTGTTTATCCATGCCTGGATTATAAAAGCAGTTGGGTGGGGGGCAGGGCAGGGGTCCAGGGAGTGGGCTTGGGGAAGTCACCACATCTGCCTCCCAGCTTCTCTGAGCCATTCTCCAGACTTCTGTTCGAGCAGGGGCTGGGGGAACCAAACAGGCTGCCCCCAGCGCCTCCAAGCTGGAGCCCCACCCCTGCCCCAGCTGGGTGGCCTGGATCCTGGCCTGGACCACAGGGAGCTGGGAGGCAAAACCAAAATGGCTTACTCTGGCCTGATGATACATCAGAGCATGCCTCCTGCCCTGGGGTGGGGGCCATACTCCCCAGTCCCAAGGCTTCTAGCCCATCCTCCTCTTCAATTAGGGTAGGAGCCTCAGGCTTCTCTCTCCCCCCACCTCCCGCCAGGCCCTGCCCAGCCCCCAGCCCCTAGGGGAACCCCCATCCCTGCAAGGTCCTTCCTGTGAATTGTCATGGTCACCTCTCAAGGGCCTTCTCATCCCGGATCCCCCATCCCAGATACAGCCACTCCCCTCCCCAAACCCAGATACCCTCCCTCTCTCCAGGGCCTGCCCGGAGCTGGAGCTGTCTCTTCACGCCAGACAGCCTGACCACGTACCTCTCTGTGCGCTTTCCTGTTGTAACTGTTTAATCCTCAGCTAGGAAATACTTTCATTTCCTTTTCCCAAATACAGTGAGGTTGAGTGAGCCGCCTGAGCCTCCCAGCCTGTATGAGGCCCCACCCGGCTGGACCCAGGCCACTGCACCTTGGCTGGGGGCGCTGCAAAGGGGTGAACAGTCTAGCCAGTCCTCCAAGGGGTCAGCCTAGAGTTACCACCTGACCCAGCAACGCCACTTCTAGCAAACACTCGCCCTCAGCTGCAGGACTCAGCCAAAAAGTGGAGGAACCCAGTGCCCACCGGCAGGTAAATGGATACCCGACGCGGCTACCACATGGACACGTCCCACGGCTGCGAGCAGGAGCAAGGTGCCCACACGCGCGGCCCCGGGGACGGACCCCGAGCCCACGACGCTCAGGGAGGGAACCAGACACGGAAGGCCACACAGGGTGTGAGTCCACGTGGGTGACACGTCCGGAGCGGGCTCATCCGCGGACGGGAAGGGGGCTCGGGGGGCCGGGGCTGGGGAGTGACAGCTGATGGGGACAGGGACGCTCAGGGAGGGACCCGGACACGGAAGGCCACGCGGGGTGTGAGTCCACGGGGGTGACACGTCCAGAGCGGGCTCATCCGCGGACGGGAAGGGGGCTCGGGGGGCAGGGGCAGGGGGGTGACGGCTGATGGCCAGAACTTCTTTCCTGGTGTTGAAATACATATTCTCAGATTGACTATAATGGTGGTTGCCCAGCTCTGAATGTACTAAAAACCACTGGACTGTAGACTTTGAAAGGGTGAGTAGTAAGGCTGTGAATTATGTCCGATAAAGCTGCTTTTGAGAACTCCTTCCTATGCAGCTGGGAATGCCCTCCGCTG